CACCTGTAGCGTGCATTTTCCCTTTTGATAATTCTATCTAAAATTAATAATAGGATGAGAATAAAGAGCGAAAGAAGCTCAGCCAAAATTGTAATGCCGAGTAGGGTAGACAAGAAGATCGTAGCTGTAAAGTGATGTAACACAAAAACTAACTCAAATTCGATAGTTCCACGATTGTATCTCTTTTCGATGTAAGTTCCGCGCTCTTTTATAGCTTCGAGATAGGCATTTGCTTCTTGCACCCAAACATCGATCTGCGAACTATCCTGCTTGCTACCACCGTACTTAACATAATGTTGAAACTGGTTTACAATATCTTGGAGAATTCTGGAATATTGCTGAGCTTTTTCTGTGAGTCCAAGAGTCTCTCCAATTATTGCTTCGAGGTTATTTTTTGATTTATTGCTTCGTTCCAGCAAAAATTTCGCCTGTTCCACAACTCCGTTCACTTCACTGAGAGAGCTATCGCTAATACCAATACTGGCCAGCGATGATTCATCTCCGTCCTGAATCATCAGTCCATTCAAATGCACCGAATCCAAAATCGCTCGTAACTCTGCAAGTTTTTTGGAAAATGATAAGAAAACACGTTTTGTTTCAAATTTTTTTAACATAAACATTTTGTATTAATTTGTACTTTCATCTCTTCTCTTTCCATATTATCTTATCCTGCTGGCTTATATTTCACCGCGTGGCATACCGTAACAATTTTTTTGTAGTTGGTAAATTAAAGAAAATCGGCAAAAAACTTCTAAAAATAAAAATTGCCCAAAAAATCAGCACGGAGATGAAATGAAAGTGCTATTTTCCGACAGAAACCCAAGCACCGTGCACAAAATTTCTAAAATTTTTCATTTTTTTTTCACATAATCTTCAATTAGATTTTTTTAGGCTTTTAAGAAAAGAAACCTTTTGTTGTGTTACTAATTCGTGCGACTCGTTTCCATGGAATTGGCCTCAAATTTGTGAAATTCTGTTCACCCATCAGCATCTCCAGCTTATCGATTTCTTGCATTAAATCCCGTGTACAGCCCTGATCACAAGATGTGCAGACACCACCGATAAAAGCGTGCCTGGCTTGGCACAATGAGCAGTCACGTCCGGTAACTCCTGGCCGACATGCACACTGACCTGTCACCTGTAATCAGATGCAAGAAATATTTAGAAAAAAAATTTTAATTTGAAACAATAAGTAGTGGCCTTGATCGAGAGCGGAACGGGGTAGGTAGCAGTCAGGGGAAAGGAAGGTTGGTTTACCCTGATTATCCCTTATTTCTGGGTAGCTCTCTCGGGATCAGACTTGGTTGCACGATTCGTTTTAATTCATTCCAGAGTCAAATTGGTGGTTTTTTGAACATTTGTATCGGTAAATATAACGTCTTCAGCTTTCTTGTCAAATTCCAACCTCATATCAGAAAAAAACACAACCAATATAGTGCCTAATTGCTGTTGGAAAAATGCTCAAGTTATTTTTTGATATCCCACTCTTCACAGGCACTGAAAAGTGGAAACGGTAAGTATCTAGTTTGCAAAGAGTCCAAAAACTTTCCCATCAAAAGTCTCTGAGCTAATAATTAAACAAAATTACCAGTTATTTTATGAATATAGAGAATTAAGCGGTTTAAATGAAACTTCCCTGATAAATTTAAGGATGGATTTTTTTTTTTACTAAATTCGGTGCAACAACAATAGATAAAACGATTCAGAGGCTACCTGATCGCAGGTATCATCCAGTGAGCCATCGCGATGGCAGGCACACTGCTCGCAGAAACCACCCAACACATTTGGATTCCCGTAATAACCACTTAAGCAACTTTCGCAATACAGCCCTGTGTATCCAGGCTTACAAGCATCGCATTCATACCCACGGCCATGATTTGTTGCTACACAGGTATCGCTGAAGCTATTATCCGGTAAGGGGCATGCACATTTTGTACATGCATCTGCACCACCAACCAATGCGTCGCCCTGATATCCAGGTTTGCACAATTCACAATAATCACCGAATGTATTGTGTTCGCAGTTCTAAAAATAAAACGGCAATTTTTCGGAAGTCAAAAACAGGATCTACCGTACCCGAGAACAGCACATGCTTTGATTTTTATTATCTCTTTTTTTCTTTTTATCATTGATATAACCGAGTTTCAGGCAGTTATTTTTCATTAAAGAGGGTGCAAGAAACAATTTTTAATAAACGAGCTGAAGTACCACACAGCAAGTCAGGGAAAGAAGGCGAGAAAAGAAAAACCAAGATCACCAGAAACCACTGTGTCTTGTATCTTAGGCTGGTAAGCACGCAAGTTTTTGTAGATGCACTAGTACTGATAAAGTTTGTTAAGGATACCAACAGTGCTAAGGCTACCACTGTGGATATCCGTATTAGTGATTTTACTGGGATGCTCTCACATGCCCAATGCAGCTAAGCCAGGCCTTTCGATCCTCGACTATGCTACGAAAAAATTACTATTAGATAAAATATGAAATCAGAATAAAGTTGTTTCCAGAAAAGTTGACAGTCAAAATTTCCGGATGAATGCTAAATGTTCTTCTGGAATTAGAAGCAAATTCCCAGAAATTAAACCAAAATTTGATTCGTCTCAGGCAAACTCCCTTTTTAAAAGTATTCTTTCCAAAAGTATTGGAACTCCAAGGGTGCTTACGGTGGTGACCTTTCCGAGTGGTTTTGTGCGTTGTGCTGCAGCACACGTTTCTAAAAGTACTAAAAACACAGCTAGATAAACGTTACGCACCGTACACCGGCAGGTTTCGGCTTCACATGTTGTCGAATGTCCATTACATGCGCACGGTTGAGGCCCGCCAACCAGAGCCAGGTCATCCGGACTATTCAGAAAATCTGGTTGCCTTTTACGACAGTAACCTTCTGCAGGATCCTGGCACGAATTACCCGCGTAGCCCTGCGGACATTCACACATTTCTACGCCTATTGCTGTTGAATTAACCAAATCCGTCGTATTTTCCCATACTGCAACGTCAATACTGGTTTCGCGCATTGAAGCTGTATCGCCCCTGAAAAAAACAAAGGTCCGAAGAATCGATCCTAGAATGTACATGGGGCGCTGGAAGTTAAATAGATTTCGAGAGATCCGAAAAAGCAATGCTAAAAAACGATTATTCCTGAAAGATGCTCCAGTTGTCAGGAAAGTCCCTTAAAAAAACCTTGATGGATAATTATAAGTAGCCCTGATATAGATTCCTTGGACATTTTGCAATGCGACCATTAGCTGCTTGCGTGTGACCGGAATTTCAGGACTCAGCCGAGATCGCCACTGGCTTTCATGCAATCGTACCTTGTAACGCCCCAAATCGTTGATTACTTCAGGAGTATGCTCGAGAATAATGCGATGATTTCCCACCTTAAAATTTTTGTTTTTGTAAAGTCAATAAATCTGAATAAATAAGAAAAACTGGCGGGCTTACGATAACATCAGCACTGATTCTTGAGCTCAAGATCACAGTTCAAATGTGCTACCGAAAAAGTCAAATTCCTTTATAATTCGTCAAGTTTTTTATGCTGGTTCTTGCGCTGGTGTACTTAGTATAACTGAGAAGATAAAACGTCATTTTTAAGAGCTCAGCTCATTTTCCAAATGTCCTCGTAAGAAATATGAGTTACCAAAAGATTCGTTATTGAACAGCTTCTGCTGGGGATGCATTATCGCTTGGAACCCTTTGAAATGTTGCCAAACCAAAAGAGTGAAACAAAAAGCTTACGAATTAACATTACTTATCTTCAGTTGAAGATAAAAATTCCTAGTCGGTATGGTACTCACTGTGGCCTAGAAGTGATGATATTAGAGATGTGGCGGTAATGCTACATACATGTAATAAGCGTCTAGAAACAGCCTTCACATTTCGTTCAGTTGCCAGCAGAACACAAACAAGCATAAACATTTGTCATGCGCTTGGTACATAAGAAGCGGAACACAGAAGACTCAAAGGCACCTCACAGCGTCTAAGATCAAGGCGAAGAAAAATCAGTACCTTAACACCTTGTCGAAAAATGCTGAATTTGTCAATTAAGAGAAGCAGACGCCAGAACTGCTAACAGGCTGGCTAAAGCTGCCGCCAAATGCACAGATGGAAAAGCTGACAATCAATAAAGTATTCTAGATAATTAAGACTCGAAAGTTAAATTGTTGTGTACTTTACATCTTATAATGAAATGTCAATACTCACTGATTTCCAAACAAATTTTACTTTTTACCTCACCAAAGACATTATTAAAATCTTACCAATACAACTTGCGGGAAAAAGCGGAAATGCTGAGCATCAGGTGGAACATTTTGAATACCGCGATAATTATCATCATTTTCGATTTTGAAACGAATAAATCCGTTGTATGATGCGATTCGATCACCCAGAAGACTATGTGGAAGAGGCCTAGAATTATATTAATTATGTAATACTTTTCTAGCATTTCACTGAATTTCATTGAAAACGAACCTAAATCGCTAACTTGTTTCAGTTACCTCAACTGTATTTCACAGTACTTGTCTCACTGATTTCAGCAAAACCAACTGCGCAAACTCCTGAGTAAGGCTTTTGGAATGCTCTAGGTGAAAAAGCGTCTGCCATTAACTTCAAGTCGAAATTCTTTTTAGATTTTGAGTTTGTTTCGAAGGAAAACCAGTCAAATATTCGATTTTTGAACTGGTCACAATCACATAAAGGAAGTCTTTCCAATTATTGAAAATAATGATTACAAAAACAACACAAATATACTAAACAGGCGTAGGTACCAAGTAAAGAAATGCAAGTCAGGATTAAAAAGCCCGACATAGCTGCAGCTGGCGTTTGTAAGCACTCCGGTGGCATGATTAAAATGGAATCCAGCACCAGTTGCCCGAACGGTCTTAGTATTCTTGATACCTTCCTTACTTTTTGTACAATGAGTAACTGTTCTTACCAGTAAAGAGGAGTAATGTCCGTTGGATAGCTGTTATATTTGAGTGGAAGCTCTTTGAGCACATTTAGATTATGCCTGCGCATGTAATATTGCCATGGTTCCGAAAAAGTTACCTAAACAAAAGTAAAACAAAACATCGATTTTCTTCAAAATGGACGCTTTAAATGATGCTCTGGCTCTTAACAGAGAATAATACCAACAATTGTGTCAGCAGATATTATCCAAGTTATCACAAAAGGAGCTTCCTTTAATAGAAACAAAAGTAAAAGAGTTTGAATTAATTTAATGAAAAGTCACTTTTTATCTCTTAAAAGTCAAGATAATTTTTTGCATTTTTTAAAAACTCCTTTGGCCGGAAAAAATACATTTTAAGCTGGTTGATTGATTCAAGCGAGCAACTTTAAAATGCAACAAAGTGGTGAAGAAATTTTGAAGTTGAATTTTCCATTTTTTATGCTTTCTTTTAGTCACATTAAGAAGTTTTTGTTAGAACAATTAAGAGGAACAAATTTGCAAAATTTAAAATTTTAGAAAAATTTTTAAAACAGCCTAAAGTCATATGAAAGTTGAATCCTTGAACCTGTCGATCGGGAGCATAAACTTGCTGCCAGACAAGACTGCTCTGGACACAGAAGTTGGTCCGGTTGAAGCAAAAGCAATCGGTGCAGCCCAATGGATTTGATTTCTCCAGGCTGAAGCTATAAGCATCGCACGTGTCGCATTTCAGGCCTTTTACATTCTTCTGAAAGATTTCTGAGTTAAATTTATTTAACGTCATCTCTGAAGCATGCAGCCCCACGCAGTCATTCAAAAACGGATCGTTCCATCGCGTTAGCGGTCTTTCCTGTGTTTCAGCATTCTTTTTATAAAGTTTCTCTTGACAGTTTTGCTTCTTAATATAATTTAATTTGGCATTTGTCGTGCTGCTACACTAGCGAGTGGTAACAAATAACACAATGAGAAAATAGTGTTTGTCCATGTTTCTTTGCGCTTTTCTTATCAAACAATTTATTTGAGTTTATTTACTTATACGTAAAAACAAAGTTATTTGATGAAATCGATATTCTCCAATATAATTTACTCTTTAAATGTTCACTTGATAACGATTTTTGGAGTGTTCTATAAAAAAAGAGGGACATAGAATACTCTGAAAATCGTCTCAAATGGTAATAACCAGAAGCGCCAAATTTAGCCATATTAGCATTGGTTCGAAATCATCGGTAAGGATTTAAAGTATTTAACCCCCAAGCTGTACCCCAAACAGAATCAGATGAAAAGACCACAGATCGTTGTTGCCAAGCTACTTCAGAGGCCCAGAATACTACAGTTCGAGTTGCAAAATGAGTAAATTTTAGTTAGTTACTGAAATTGCGTCGCGTTTTCGGTAGTTTACCAAGGGTAAGCAATTTTTGTTAGCGTAAGCAATTTTTAAGAGAAATTTACAATTGAACTTACCTTACAATTACATTGACCCTGCTCATCGCAAGGGCAAACACCTTTTTTGCAGCTTGCTGGATCGGTTCCCGACATATCACAATTGCACGGTTCACATTCTGGGAAACTGAAGTGCCCAAAAGTACAACGGTCGCATTTTAAACCAACAAATCCCACGCGGCAGTTGCACTAAAAAAACTATTTTTTCAGTTAATATTGGCCAAGTTAGCGGCTTCTTGAGCTTAGTCTAGTAACGCTTATAAAGTGAACCTGTCCTAGTGAAAATTTACACAAAAAAAGTAACTTCAGAAT